GAACAGCTATTCCCACCAGATCACCACAGCTCCAGCTGGCTGGCCATGGAGTCCTTTTCTCTATAAGAAAAGTGGTCAGGGCAGAGGGAAGGAAGATAGTGTCTTTTAAACTCTCCAAATGTCACAGCAAGGATGGGCTTACTGTGAGTCAGAAGTAGTAGTGTGTCAGGGCAAACCAGCTTTGATCAGTAAATGAATGCTTATGAGCTGCACTGCTGCTTGTGGAGATTCCTTGTGCTGCCTCCTATCCACTTGTTTCAATCCAGGGCTGTTACCTTCATGACTTAATGCAGAGGTGATATGCATGCCATGGGGCAGGGAGTGGGCATGGTGGAGCTCTGAAAGTTAGCAGAGATCTCTGCATGTCACAGCCACCAAAACAAGTGATTGCAGAGTGAAAGCAGGATGGAAACAGCAATGACAAATGGAAGCTGCAAAGTCTTTGGTAGCTGATGTGCATCTTCATCTCTCACAGGGGTTTTACTGTTGTCTCTGCTGTCCCTTTTTGGGGAGCAAGATATGTGGCTGCATGGGAGACATGAATTCCCAGCCTTTCTCTTTGCTGGAAACTGATCCCGCCCAATACTCATACAAGTGGCAACTAACTGTTCTCCATCCCACTTTGTCCCAGCAGCAGCTGATGCTGCTCACCAACATGGGGCACTGGGTATGCACTGTCCCTCCCAAAACGCCTGGACAGAGTTGCCAAACTGAGAGGCTCTGAGTCACTGGAGATTTGTGGGGGGTTCTCCTCTCAGGAGAGCAATCTCTGAAGGCAGGCTGTTGCTGCATACCATGAGCTACTTGTAGAGCTGAGTTCTTAATACAAGAAAGGCCAGCTTGTCACTGTAATTTAAAAATCCTTTTGCCATCTAGGGAAATGTCAGCAGGCAGAAACAAGCAATGGGAGGGCTTGACCCAAACACAAAGAAGCTGCTGTTTTCTGCCTGTCCTCGCTGTCAGCAGTGTTAGGTTGCTCAGTGCTACTCGAGAAAGCAGCTCTGGAAATTCTCTTCCTTCCATGAAAGCTGAAGACATGTGAAGTGAAATGCCTCTGCCTGAATAAACACCTGCCAGACTGTCATGGGAAGAGCTGCAATGTTGAAGTACAGCAGGGTGAGGACTGGCATAAGGCCCAAAACTGGGAGTCAAGGAGAATCCTCTGGCAAAGCTGACACCTTGTTTTTGATGGCTTGTTTTCCACCTGCAGGTGTAATCGATACTCAGGTGCTGGAGTGACTAAACTTGCCCGCTGTTGCTGCTGCCATTGCAGCTGCACCAAGCAGTGTGGCGGAATAGAGGGAGGGGATGGGTGTGAAACAAATTCCTGTCTCGAGAACCACAGAGGCATTTTCATGCCTGGGATACTTTCCTATTTGTTTTCCCCCAAGGTGGCCCCTCTCGCCTTGGAGACAGTGTGGCACCTGAAACCATGGGGCACATGACCATGCAGTTATTGACAGCTCCAGTTCAGGAGCAGAAGGCCTATTTTGCAGTTCATAATCTAGGCTGGGGTATTCTGAGGGGCAGAATATGGAGGAGCTGGGGTGAATCCAAATAGGATAGCAGGGTGACATCCTCGTTCAGAGAGGCTGTGGTTTGGCAGAGGAGAGTGGAGGGTGTGCTGTGCCCACACGTGTCCCACTGGTGTGTTTCTGATCCATCCTACTCTTTGTAGATGGCTCAAGGAGGATCCTTCTGTGTACAGACTTGTTCACAGCTGATGGAAACTTGCCCAAGGCATCCTGGCTTGCCATCACTGGCCCCATAGATGAAGAGAAGGGACACATCAGGAATGTTTCAACTCAGTGGAGGTGAGGAGTTGCAGTGGGATGGTGCAGATCTGCACCCTATCCTCCACTGCTGTGGATACCCCAATCTTTCCTGTGCAGTAACTCTGTTTTCCCTATGCAGCCTTCAAATCCCCTGGAACTCGAAACCATAGAAACCAGCAAGCATCTGTGTTCAGTTTCTTGCATTCCTGTATTCACCGTATTTAAGGTCCAGGTCATTAAAGCAACTAAGTCTAGTTATCACAAAGACTGTCCTCACATACCTGTTGTCTGAGCACACTGCTTCTATAAGGGCTGGTGCCAGGCAGTCCTTTGCACTGGACCAGTCTCAAAGGCGAGCTCTGGCTGTGGAGAGCTCTGTAAATGGGATCATAAGTAAGAAAACAAGCGTCAACCTGAGCACTTCAAATGGTCAGTCTCGACAAAGAGCTCATCAGAAGGACCTCACAAGGCTCTGTGCTAGCACTAGTGCTGTTCAACACACTTGTTACAGTCTGGAGAGGAACACTAACAGCAAGTTAACAGTTTACTTGTGTCCCATAATTATTCCAGAGAGGCAGTATAAGGCTGACTGCAAAGGGTTGCAGAAAATCTCCTGACTCTGAGTGGCTGGACACTCCCTGGCAGATGAAATTCAGTGGCGGCAAATGCAAGGCAATTCCACTAGGAAGAAAACAGTCTAGCTGTACAGATATACTGAATGGCTCTAAGTCAACTGCTGCTAGCAGAGAAAGAGATTCTTGATACATTGAGGATAGGCTGCTGAAAACACTCTCTCAAGGCTCTGTTGAGGTCAAAAAGCCAAAGAGAAATGTTAGGAATGAGTACAGAAGAAACAAAGAACATGATTATGCTTCTGTGTACTTCATGGTCTGCTGAAAGTTTGAAAGTTGTGAGTGCTTCTGGTTACTACTTTGAAGAGCATAAAGACACATTAGTAAGAGAAGAAAGGACATCAGCAATGATCAGAAGTAGGAGATAGTTTCTGGGGAAACATAGATTGCTAATCTTGAAGAAGAGATTCCTGAAAGGGAATCACAAATGGTATGGAGAATGTCAACAGAGAAATAACATTCATGCAGTTCCATATCACAAAAACTAATGGCACCTGATAAACTGGTTAGGCAACAGGTTTAAAATAAACAAGCTTTTCCACGTAGGCATCTAGGAATAATGGAACTCTGCCACAGAGTGTTGGTGGAAAACAATCCATGAAGGGTTTGGGCACATCTCTACAGCATATTTCCTTTGGAGACTGTTGGATGCAGCAGCATAGATGTTACCTCTGCATCAGAAGTGTCCTAAACAGCAGGCTGATTGGAGGTGAGCAGGAGAACTGGGATATAGCTTGTTTCCTCTGTTTCTTATACTTCTTTACTAAATACCTAGTGACTGCTAGAGAAGACACACTGCTTATTTAATCTGGGCTACCACAGGTTGGCTTACATTTTTAGTTTGTTTTTTTTCCTACACTATTTTCCTAAATTGTCATCTGACCACTGATGATATATCACAGGAGAAGTGGAAAGTGAACCAGTGAGCTGGAGAAGAGCACAAACTTCCAGATGGAGAGCCAACATGTCTTATAGAAATTCTTAATGTTTTTTGCACTGGTGTGCTCGGACATACCATAAACCAGAAATAGGGACTTTTGAGTGAAAGTAAGCAAAGATTGTGGTAATTTTCTTAAAATGAAGAAAACATTGTTTTTCCTGTTAGGTTGGCCAGGGCAGTGGATGTCATTAGACATTTAGGAGATAGAAGAGATGTAATCTTCCCTTGCTGAATGAGCAGTAAATATGCCCTAGCTGTCTGATTCAAACAGTTACACCTGTCCAAGCAGGAAATGCCAAGCTTTGTATCAGTAATGAAATTTGGATTCTGTGTATTTGCAGCCATGAGTAGAATATTTGCAGAAATAACTGAGAGTAAAATTTCTCCCCAGGGGTGTTGGTCTTTCCAGCTTGCACAGATTCACTTCTTGGGGACAAATTTCAATAGAGGAGAATAATTTTGCATAAATAAGCTGAAAGAAGATATCAGCTGTCCACAGACAATCTTTGTGGAGGAAAAGATAACTAGCTACAAGTCCAGGACTCTGGGGTGCTGGTAAGAGAAACATGTTGGTTATGGCTTAGCACAGTTTCAACCAGCAAGCTGTCCTAGCCTCAGCCTCTCTGGAGGTGTTTCACAATGTAAGATCCTGAGCTCTGGGAGTGGGAGAATATTCTCTCTGCAAACAAAGCTATGGTTTGGTTTATTTGGCCTTTTCCATTTCAAATGCCTTGATTGTTGGTGCCTGTCAAGTCATCTGATGGCCAATCTCTTCTCAGAGACTACAACTTTTAAGATGATACGTGTCCTGAACCATTCAGCTATGGTCCTGCTTTTTTCCCCCTGTTCTGTTCTGCCCAGTTTCTGACTCCACCTTCTCTGCCTGCCTGCCCATTTTTCCATTTCATTATATCCCCTCCCCCAGGACTGGAGAAGAAAAGCCCACATCTGGAGGCCATTCACAGCTGGAAGATTTCTGCTGGCATTCCTTACTTTGAAATCCAATCCTTCTGTCTAACCTTCTGTCTAATCTTCTGTGTAACCTTCTGTCTAAATACATGGCAGAAAGAGGCTTTGTGAGGGGAGCCTGTGAACAAATCTGTGATTCTACATCCTTTTTCAAGTGCGAGACTTCTAGATTTGGGTTTAGGGCTTCCTAATTTTGAGGTGTCCAAATGTGCACACTGAAAGCAATTCAGAAAGGGGTGTTTATTCTTCTACACACTATCCTCTGCTGGTGTGAATAGCCTCAACCTTTCCCGTGCAGTAACTCTGTTTTTCCTATGCAGCCCTCAAATCCCCTGAAACAGAACAACGCACAAACCAGCAAGTATCTGTGTTCAGTTTCTTTCATGCCTGGATTTGCTAGATTTAAGGTCCAGGTCATATACCCAGCAACAGTTAAATGAAGTTGCTGAAGCATTACATAGGTTCCAACATCCACAACTGATTTTGTCCAAACAGTTCAGTCAGTGGCCTTTGGGCTGCATTTTGTCTGTAGAGCAGTTCACCCAGGCTCCTGGTAACTTTTCCACCACTGAAGAATAAAACTTTATGTTTCTTGCATCCTCCTTGCCAAGTTAGAGTAAATTGCTTTAATGTGACCCCCTGCTTGCCAGGAAGGTGAATAATTTCTAATTCCATTTTAAATACCTTGGAACAGAGCTTTAGTTGTTATCACTGGGTTTGTTTAGCCTGTATAGCGTTTCTTCTATGACAGCATTATGGAGTGCTTTACAATGCTTACAACCACACTCATCGTTGTCATAAATGCCCCTGTCATGACTAATAGGACAAAGTTCATTGAGCTGGTGGTCTGGAATTTAAGGCTTGGCACAGAGGAAACAGGTGTGTCTTTTTCTTAAAATAATAAAAATAAAAATAAAATTAAAAAAAAAAAAAAGTGAGGGGGACGTCATGTTTGTTTCCCAATGGGATTCTGTCTACTTTTATGTTCTGATAAGGGCCAGCAGCTTCCTGTGCCTTTTCTGTGGGAATCCACTGGTTTGGCTGCGCAATAGCCTCAGGTTTTTCACCCTGTATTGGATCTCTGGGACCTGAATGGGTCCAAATACCTTATCTTCTGGCATCACACTAAGGTACTGTTGCACTCATATTGTGTGCCTGCTTGCCTGGAAACATCCACCTTGGTGTTCCTCCTTGCATTGCAAATCTGAACAGACTAGAGAGGCTGTATTCTATGTTAGTATAATTTGGGAACCATTTGTGGCTGGCTGTTAAATTTTTACTCTTAAAGTGAGCGAGCCTTATTCTGAAAAGAATGGATGTATTGTGTATATCCATGCACTCAAGAGTTGAAAGAATATATTTTAGTAGAGCTGTATCAGTTTTCTAATCCTCAACCCCTGAGAGATTAAAGGCATCCTTTCATTCCCCTTTTGAAAAGTTAACTGTTGCAGGGTATGATTTAAGCTGTTCTGTTTGTTTCACGTCATACTACTACGGGCACTGTTCAGCTCGTGCGTCATAGTGGAGAGGGTAGGAGTAAAGTACTGAACAAGAGCAACTTAAACCATGACAAGTTTTATAGGTACTTGTTTGACTCAATTTAGCTTTCTAGACTGCCCCATAAATGCAATGTAATTTAATGGTCTGCACATGTCTGGACCATATTTGGCCTACATGCTAGCTCAGTTCGACTCACATATTATGACTATTTCCCTGATAAGTCTGCTGAGGAAACAAGGGGTTAATAGCTCTGGTGAGTAAGTGACTATTTTTTTTCTTTTCTCAAGTTAGAATTGTTCTTTGTGTGATACGGTCACCAGAACATCTGGAATAGACTCATATTTTGGGGAATATGGCTGCTTGTGCCTAAAGCTAGTGACTCTATGGCTTCATATACCCAAATGAATACCTTTGTAACACTGTGATTAAATTTGCACTGGTATAAAGGGCAAGCAAAATGCTCATTATTCTTACTGACATCTTATTCTAACAGTCTGAGGAAACAAACCAAACCATATTATTACTAATGATTATTACTGTTATCTGTCCTTCGGCAGTGCTGAGAAGCTAGTGCCCCAACATACGAGGTTCTGATCAGAAATCTAAGCAGCCATCACTGACCTTAGAGATCAGTGTGACGCTGAAATGCAATAGTCATCACTAGTGTGGCTATCACAGAAATCTGGGTCCCTGTTTCAGAGTACAGTGATTTGCCTGACAGAAAAACATTTTCTTTTCTTGTTTCTCTTCAGTTTGGATACTATGGGGAATAGTTCTAGACATTTGATGCTGACCTTCACACCTCAATTATTCTGTTTCTGGTGATAACAAGGTTGTCATCAGAAGCAGCAAGACCTGCCTTTGGAGGCAACCCGTTCTGTCCCACTGGGATTGTAGCCTCTTTGCCTGCTGTGGGCAGCTGGAGATGGTCACAGCTGTAGCTCCTACAGATTACTCTGGAACTGTGGTTTCTTAATAATGCTGAAAATCTGGCTCTTGCTCCCAGCACTGCAAACAGTGTGCTTCCTTTTGAGAGGGCAGTGAACCAGGGCAGGGCAGCAGTGGGACTGGTAGTTCTTCTGAGAAGCTGGACTTGCATACTGTAGTGGGTTTCTGTGGCTGGGTTTTGGTGTGGGGGGGTGGGCTACAGGGGTGCCTTCTGCTAGAAGCTGCTAGAAGCTTCCCCTGTTCCATGGAGCCAATGCCAGCTGGCTCCAGGAGACTTCCTGCCGCTGGCCAAGGCTGAGCCAATTAGGAGTGATAGTAACACCTCTGTGATAACATATTTAAGAAAAGAAGATTGTTGCGTAGAAGAAATTCCAGCCAGGGAAGAGCAGAGTGAGAACATGGGAATAACAACGTAGACACCAAGGTCAGTGCAGAAGGAGGGGCAGGAGGTGCTCCAGGCCCTGGAGCTGAGGCCCTGCAGCCCGTGGAGCAGACCATGGTGGAGCAGCTGTGCCCCTACAGCCCATGGAGGATCATCGGGGTGCAGAGACCCACCTGCAGCCCATGGAGGAGCCCATGCTGGAGCAGGTGGATGCATGAAGGAGGCTGTGACCCCGTGGGAGGCCCAGGATGGAGTGGGGTCCTGCCAGAGACCTGCAGCCCATGGAGAGGGAAGCCCACGCTGGAGCAGGTTTCTTCCAAGGTGGGACTTGTGGCCCCTGTGGGGGACCCACATTGGTACAGCTCATTTGTGAAGGACTGCACCCCATGGAGGAGTGACCCATGGGACAGCAGTTTGGGAAGAGCTGCTGCCCAAGGGATGGACTCACGCTGGAGAGGTCCATCAAAGACTGTCTCCTGTGGGAGGGACCCCACGGGAGCAGGGGAAGGACTCCTCTCCCTGAGCAGCGCCAGAAACAACAACTGACCATAACCCCCATTCCCCATCCCCCTGCACCGCTGGGGGGGAGGAGGAAGAACATGGAAGGAAGGAGGGGCGGGGGGAAGGTGTTTTTAAGACTGCTTTATTTCTCACTCTTTGGCTCTTATCCTGTTAGTCATAAACATTAGTACTATCCCCACTTTGAGTCTTGTTTTGCCTGTGAAGGTGATCAGTCACTGACCTCTCCCAGCTCTTATCTCTACTCATGAATCCTTAGCTGTTTTTTTTTTCTCTCTCCTCTGTCCAGTTGCAGAGGGAGAGTGAGAGAGCGGCTTTAGTAGTGGGTACCTGGTATCTGGCTGGGGTCAACCCACTACACATACATGGTGATGAAACTTTGTCTTGAAAGGACAGAAGCAAGTGGAATACACTGCTTAAGGGAGAAGATCCTAAAGAAAGTAGCTGTTGTAATGGAAAGAAAGGAAATTTTCAGTTGAATATCAGGAAATCTTTGCTAGCAACTGACTTTTGTTGGTGCGTGGAATAGCTTCCTAAGGGAAACCCAGTATTGGAAGCCTGTCAATTCTGATCTCCAAAACTAGACTGGACACAGCAGAACACACTGCAGGCCAGGAAATGAATTTACTTTGTCTGGGATGAATACTATGGGTGTGACCCTGCACCACGAAAAAAACAATGCAAGTATTGCCAGTGATCTCAGGGAACATATGCTCCTCCTAAGCAGCAATCAAGTGCTGATTTTCCATCTCTCCTATACACTGTGAGGTGTTTCTTATCAGTGCAGTGGTGGTAGCAATGTCACCAGTATATCTAAACCCATTCCTTTCCATTCAATTCTGCTCCTTGCTCCTTTCAGGCAGCTGTTAAGGAATGGTGCTGAGTGTCTCAGATGCACAGAGCATTAGGAGAAGAGAGCCAGATCTACTTCTCACCTGCAGGGATGGGAGGGAATACATCCCCAGTGTGCACGAGGTCCGTGTAAGACTAAGACTGTATTTATTTCATAGATCATAGAATCATTAGGGTTGGAAAAGACCTCTAAGATTGTCAAGTCCAACTGTCAACCTAGCACCACCACCATATTCACTACAAAAACGTGTCCTCAAGGGCTATTAATTAACTGACGCTCACCCTGGCCTTTGATCTGGTAAAGGCAGAGAAAGGCAAAGGTAAAGGAATTGATGTCTTTCTACTGGGCTTGGTCTTACTTCACATGGTTTCACTGGTGCCCCCCGCTCCCCTGGGGCTACTTTGCCCAGTAGCCCTTAAAGCAGAGGCAGGTGACTTTTTTGCTCTTGTGCTGATGACTGATTCCAGTGAACATCTGTGTTCCTTGCCAGATGGATCCTAGAGCAGCCATACTCCTAGTGCTCTTTATAGTCCTTTCCAGTGTTCCCAAATGCTAAGGTGTGTTAGTGCTGGGGTACACAGGGCAGTGGTGAGAAGGGCGGAGGCAAATAACTGTGGTTTTAAAAGTAAATAATTTATGCAACAATAACCTCTCCACCCAGGTAATCACTTAGAACAAACATTCTACATGTCAAAGGTGTTTCTGGAGATAAGGGTTAGCACAATAAGACTCCTGCTTTCTTGGCTTTATCTAGTGCTCAGCACTTAATGCCACCTCGATCTCTGCTGAAGGCAGTGCCCCAGTAGAGGTTACCAGTCAGGGGTAAGACTTCAGGGGGAAGAGTTGCACTGACAATAAGCTTCCAGTGTGGCAAGTACAGTGTTTTCCAAGGGGACTGGATTTAGGCCCTAAAACTTTGCCCATGTTACAGAGAGTGCAGTATTTGTCTGGGGGGAAAAAAGGACAGATATGGAGAAAAACACACTCTAATGGCTGGGAAGTTAGGCTCATGGTTGCAAACTGCACCTGTGCTTGCAAAGCAGGCTGAGGCTTTTATTGTCCCTTTTGGCTTTTTTTTTTTATTATTATTCAGGCAAATACTGCTTACTGAAGAGAATTTTTCCTTGGCTACTTGGCCAAGGGGAGCTCAACAAAGGAAGTCCTGGAGACTGCTGCTGAAGATTCGACCTTGTGACCTTCCTGTGGTATACTGACAGGCCATTACCATGTTGTGATGGTTGCCTAGCAAAGTAGTGACAAGTGTGCTGAGGCACAGTGACAGCTGTGTCACACCTGAGGCTGAAACTCTGTAGTATTTGTTTTGCAACAGAGCAAAGCTTGCATCATTGTATCCCCAAGTCAATGAGTGCAGGTGTAGTGACAGAGTGGCTCTGTCTATGTGCTCGCCTAACTTGTATCACCAAGTGTCCTGCAGTGGCTCCCTGATTTGGCCTTACCAACACCCCTGTGAAGAAATAACTGAGCCTTGCTGTGATCATAGAGACGAGAGGTAGAGAGGCTGAGTCGTAG